AAGTTTGGATTCAGTCAAAGGGCCGCACTTGAGGACCTAGAGGGCCACATGTGGCCTCGAGGCCCCAGGTTCCCCACCCCTGGCTAGCACATAGTAGGAGATTAATAAATTATTGAATCAGCCAATCAACTCAGAAAAGGCTGGGCTGGCTGAATTAGAGACAAGATCTGTAGGACATTGATAGTCATTCAGGCTGTAGGAGGGAGGCAGCAGTGTGTGTGTGTGTGTGTGTGTGTACATATATACACACATATATGTATACATATATACACACATATATTTTTGAAATCACATAATTTATTATTAGAAAACCTGAGTTAGAATTCTGGCTCAGACCTATTAATCTATGTGATCTTGAGCAAGCTCTCTTTCCTCTCCAAGCCTCAGTTTCCCCATCCATAAAAAGGGAATAATACTTGCACAGTCCCCCAGGGTAATTTTGAGGGAAAGTGCTTAGCAATCCTGAAAGCACTATAGATATGTGAGTTGTGATTATTATTGAGGGGAGGCCAGGATTAGGGTCAAGAACTCCATCACTCTGTGACTTTTCTCCAGCGTTTGTTTCTTTCCAGCCCTGTCTGTTTCCCTGCAGCGATTAGCAGTAAAACCTCTTAAAACCTCAGGAAAGGTTGTGTGCTGAAGTAGGGGGAGAGGTGGCAACCAGGCGTCCCTCCCTAGAGACAGAGAAAGGTAGGGCCAGAAGGAGGGAGGGGTGAGAGCAGCAGAAATCCAGGCCTGGGGGCCAACAGCCAAGTCTGACACTTGTGGGTAGAAGGAAAGAAAAAAAAAGAGGGGGGAGATGGGACAGTGGCCTGGGAAATCGGGGGGGTGGGGAGAGGACAGAAGCTTTGTGTGTGTTAGTCTGAACTCCCCAGGGAAACTGAATTCTACTATATTTTCTTTTTTTCATCCAGTAAATACAGACTACTTGATTGATTGAATAGAAGAACCACCTAGAATGGGGAGAGGCCCAGGGCCCAGATCCTTGACCAGTCCTGGGAATAGAAAAGCATGAACATAGGGGCTGGGAAGGAAAGGACTGTGGGTTCTAGGTGGACACAGACTCCCCTGAGGCTAACAGGATCCTGAGCCAGCATGTTCTCCTCCTCCATCCACCTCCCCCCCCAGTCTACCAAATTCCCTCCCCTATCCAGGCTTCCTCACCTGGCATTGACCGGTGTGCTGGGATTGAAGAACTCCTGGGTTACCAGAGTGGCGTACCAGGAGACTGCAGTCATTGTGCAGAGCCCTGGGGACAGAAAGGCCCAGCTCAGTCCTGTTCTGGTTTCCTGGTGCCTAGGTCAAGTCCCTCTCCCCACCCCCCAGGGAGCTCCTGTGGGACTCCAGGCATGACACGGTTTGCCAAACACAGTCCAGAGACCAACTGCTTCTCTCCAGTGGGGGCAGAGAGGAGGGGGAGAGGTCAGGAGGGGGCCATTGCTCAATGCTGGGCATGTGGCTACACCATGGGGGAAGCAGGACTTACCTGCCAGGACGAAGAGGGCACCTCCCGAGATGGCGACCCGGTCCTTGGTCACGGGGTTATTGTCTCCTACCCGGGTGCATTTCATGCCCACCACACTGATGACCACCCCAATGAAGCCCAGGAGCACAGAGACCACCATGAGAGCTCGTGCCGTCTGGATGTGAACTACAAGGGAAAGAGATCGGTGATGCTAGAGGATTCAGCCTGGTTCCTGTTTGTCCACATCCCCTGCTCTAATCCTCCACATCCCTTATCCCTATCCATGCCCTGTGCAGCCCTGCTTCCCACCCAGGGTCTTCCACTCCCTTCTTCCCCTCTCTGTTTCATTCCTTCCATGGGAACACTGCTCCAGCCTCAGAAATGCAAAAATGCACGTCAGAGCTGGAAGAAAGCTTAGAGATCATCTAATCCAACTCATTTAACACATGAGGAAACTGTGGCCCCCCCCAGGAGGGATGTGATTTACCCAATGGCTCACAGTGAGTGATCGGGACAGTGGAGATTTGAACCTGGGTCTCCAGACTCACATACGGTAATCTTGCCAATTTCCTCCCAAATCCTATAGAAATGGGGCTTTTGGAGGTAAGCCACTCTCTCCCTCTCTGTTTCCCCTCTGAGGGCTCTGGGGTAGGACACAGCCAGTAAAACACATGGGGGATAGGGAGTCATCGTGATACCATGCTCATGTATGCGGTCACATGGCTATGACATCACGTGCTATTTTAGGACTTTTCTTTTTCTTTGTTTGTTTGTTTGTTTTTTAAACTCAATCTGTTCAGCCTCTTACACACTTGACTCTTGGAATCACCCTCATCGGCCAATAGCTCTGCCCTCAACAAGGACAGCTGAGATTGCTGGAATAGTCGAAGGTCTATGAAACCCTTTACATTTATTATCTCACTGGGTCATCACAGCAACCCTATCAGATAGGTATTATCGACAGAGTACTGTTATCCCTAATTTAGAGATGTGAAAACTGAGGCTCAGAGAAAGCAGAGGCCCAGACTGACCCACCAAAGGCTTTTCAGAAGTCCTAGTGACATGAACACAGTTGCATCAGACACACAAATAGTGGCCAGTTAAGTGGCTAGCTCAAGGTAGCAGAGCTAGTGGGTGATAGGGGTAGACACCGGACCCCAATCTCTCTTGATTTCAGCTACAGTATTCTACACACACACACACTCACCAATGGACCTTTCTACCCTCTGCTTCCTTCTTTTGATCTTTTTAATGTCAGCTGTCAGAGACCTGGGAAGGTCATTGACTTTGGAGTCCAAGGACCTGGGTTTGAATCCTAACTGTGCCATTGACTCCCTATGTGACCATGGTCTAGTAACATTAGTTCTCTGGGGCTCAGGCTCCTCATCTACAGTGGGTTGGACCTCTAAACCCATGATCCTTTAAACACCTGTCCTGTTTCCCTTCTTTCCTTTCTCCCCCGTTAGAGTGGCCAGCCACCTTTTCCAAGGAACCTTTCTAATTTATACAGATGAAGCAGACAGATTTCCCTGCCCCAGCACTGTGAGGACAGAGGACCAGCACGGCTGTGCCCCCCACCAAAATACCCCTGCCCTTTAATGGAGCTGTTTGTATGTCCTATACAGCTGTGTTCACATCACTGGGACTTAAAAAAAAAAATCCTTGGTGGTCAGTCTGGGCCTTTGTTCAGAGCACAAGAGCCACACCTAGGCCTGAGCACAAGCATTATGTGTGGTGGGTAAGGACAAACGAAAGGGAAGCCAGCCCTCAGGTGGGTGCCTCCCAGGAGAGAGGATCAGCACCCAACCCCACCTCCCAAGTGTTTTCATCATTAGGGCTAGCAGACAAATCCCAAGGGGAAGAGAGCTACCCTGGGACCAAGCCCAGAAAAAGCTGAGGATGCCCTAGGGGCCAAATGCTGGAACCCTGTCCTTGTCTGACTAACAGGCACAACTCCAGGGTGCGAAGGGCCAGGGAGCAGCTGCCAGTACTAAGGGAGAAACTAATTCCTCCCAGTCTTCTCTGACCTCCACTCCCTCTCTCAGACCCTGGCCTGCTCCCCCAATCTTCAGGACCCCTGCACCCCTCAAAGAGCCCACTTAGCACCAACACCATCACTGCCTTCTCCTCCAGGGCCTCTGGAGGAATTAAGGGGCTGGGGAAAGGGGAGAAATTGTGAGAGAAGTAACTCATGGAATGGAGACCGTGCATGTCTAAAGGGACTGTGTTGGTCTGGGTGCACCTAAGAGTGGATGCTTGCTGTGGATGGCAAGATGAGAATCCACCTTTGCCACCAACCTGCTCTGTGATCAAATGAAGAAAGTCACTTGCCCAATCCAGATCTTGGTTTCCTTCTTGTTAAAATGAAGTAGGTTGGAATAAGCCCCTTTCCAGCTCTGACCTTCGAAGTTCTAAAGGTTCTTCTAGCTCTGACATTCTGTGTTCTAAGGGCCCTCCCAGCTCTGACATTCTGTGTTCTAAGGGCCCTCCCAGCTCAGACATCCTGTGTTCCAAGGTCCCTCCCAGTTCTGACATTTCGTGTTCTAAGGACTCTCTTAGCTCAGATATTCTGTGTTCTAAGTTCTTTTCCAGCTTTGACATTCTGTGTTCTAAGGTCTGATGTTCTATGTTCTAAAGCCTTTGAAGGCTCTGAAATTCTACACTCTCACTTTCTATGTTCTGTGTTCCAGGGTCACTTACAGTTCTAACCTTGTATATTAAATCCCTCCTAGCTCTAATAGTCTCTGTCCGAAGGTTATTTCAACCCTGGCTTTTTATGTTCTGAGGGCCCTTCCACACTATTCTACAGCTAGGAATATGTATGATTATGAATCTTACATATGTAAGAATTATGAACGGTGGGGGGCAGGAATGTCTGATGCCAGGGGCACGGGGACGGCAGGGGGCTTGGGGCACTGCTCTTTTAAGCCACACAGCCTCCTCCCATCCCACCTCAGTGAACCCCACCAGGTACCCCAAGTTCGGTTTTTGCCCCCCTCAAGCCCCACAGCTGTTTGGGATGTCAGATGCTGGGGCCAGAAGAACAGGGGAGAGAGCAGGAGGAGCAGGGGAGGGAAGTCCTACCGTCCAGGGCGAGCAGAGAGTCATAGAGCTTGCACTGCACCTGGCCGGTGCTCTGAGAGGCACAGGACATCCAGAGTCCCTCGTAGAGGCCCACTGCTGTGATGATGGCATCTCCCGCATACGAGGACTGTTTCCATTGGGGCAGGGCTGTGCTGGCAATGATGCCCACCCAGCCCCCCAGCGCCAGGAAGTAGCCCAGGAGCTGGAAGCCAGAGTTGGCCATGGCCCAGATCGCTCAGCAGCCCGAGGTGATGGCTCAGAGCAGGGTTGGGGTCCTTGTGGGGACCGGGGGCATGGCCCCACGGGGCTTCTCTTCTGGAGGACAGCTGAGGAACTCGAAAACACTTAAATGGCAGTGAGGGAAGGGGGTGGGGGGCGGAGGGCAGCGGTGGCAACAGCAGTAGCTGCTCCGGGCTCCGTCTCCAGAAGGCGGGGGGGGGTGGGGGGTTGGCAATGCCGAGGCACCGCCCACTGCAGCCTGCCTGGGACATAGCTGAGTCCCGAATCAAAGTGGAGAACTGCCCCAGGTCCCTGAGCAGGGGGATGGAGTGGAACATGCGGCCATAGGCAGCTTCCTAGGGAGGCAACCCTAAGCCCCCACCCCCAGTCACTGAAGGAGAGGTAGGGGCCCAATGCACCATCCATACTCTCCTACCCAAAGGGAAACCACTCTGGGGCTCACAGGACCATACATCTGGAGCTGGGAGGGCGCTTAGAGTCCAACCCCCTGATGTTACAGAAGAAGATCTGAGGCTCAGAGAGGTTGTGCCTTGCCCAAGTGCTAGTAAATGGGAAAGAGTAGATTGAAACCCAAGTTTTCTGGCCCTAAATCCACTGTAATATCTTGGTTCTAGAATGTTACAAAGAACCGTGGAACCACCTAGTGCAAACCCATTAGTATACAGACGAAGGCACCCAGAGGAGAATGACTTGCCCAAGGTCACATAGCTAGTAAGCGATTTGAACACAGGTCTTGAGGCTCCAGGTCCAGTGTTTCGTTTGTTTTTTTCTGGTCATGGTGGTTGTTTTTCCCTACCGCACCGCACTGTGCTGCCAACGATTGCTGCTTCTAGAATTCTCTGACCTTTGGGGTTTCCTATCCTCAGAATCTAGGGGCAGGAAAGAAGTTGCATTTCTTCTCTTTGCAGGAGGTAAGACTGGAGATAGGCATCCTGGAGAACTTCCTTGAAGCACAAGCTGCTTGGAGACCTCTAAACCTAGGCTCCCCATTCTTGGGTTAGGGGAGTCCACCTAGGAGGGCCCCAATCCCTCTGAGAGTATAAACTGGAGAAACTGAGGTGCAGAGAAGAGGGGAAGGCCCCAGAGCAGCCAGGAAGGAGGATGGCCTGAGGCTTGGCTCTTAGCCAACTTGAGGCCTGGTTGGGGGTGGGGGGGAAGGCAGCACCAGTCCTTCCTGGCATTAGTCTGAAGGTGGATTGTTCCAGCCCCCTAATCCCCTCCCCAGCAGCTGGATTAGCAGCTCCTGCTGGGACCCAGGCCCAAGCTGCTTCTGCTCACCAATCCAGGGATGGCCTGGGGGAAGGGGAACCCTGACTGCGATAAACAGCCATAACAATTCCTCAGGCTGGAGGGACGAGAAAATTGAGGGAATCTTAAAGGGGGGTGGGGGGGGGTGTTGTCCTCAACGCTCCTCCCACCCCACCTCCAGGCTGGGCATCACACCTCCAGCGGGAGACTTGCCCTGATCCAGAATATCTGGAGTCGAAGACCCCACAACCAGCCTGAGCTTGGAGGAGGGGGCAGCCACGCCCTCTCAGGCCCTGGAGTCTGGGTTAGGAGCTCAGCAGTCCTGCCCCCCCCTCCTTTCCTCCCACAGCCGGGGAATGTTTAACTGCCCTGGGCCTCATTAGAAATCCCCTCACGCTCGGACTCAGAGGCTCTATATCCATGCTGTTGGGGGTTGAAATGTGGGCCCCACAGCCTGCCACCCATTCCTGGTAGCCTCTACCAGTAGCCCAGTCCTGGCACTGGTCACCTCTTAGCTCCACTTCATTCTCTAAAGTTTCTATCAGCTGCCTACCTCACCTTGCGTATGCCAGCTTGAGATTAGGGTAGATAGTCTCTTCCCCTTGTACTGGGGGGCAGGGAATAGAGGTCCTGAGATATTTCTACCTGAAGAACTGGGGGAGGATGGGTTTGACTCAGCTCCAGAGCTCTCTCCCCACCCCACCCCCCAGGAGCTCTGGGTCCACAGAGTGCTTGTCTACAAGGCCTGCTCCCTGACATTCCTCACATGACTATGCAAAAGAGGAGGGTGCCAGGCTGTTGCCGGACAATAGCATCAGTGTGCCCAGGACCCAGGCGTGGGCCTTGTGGTATGGTCTGGCGCTCTGGCCCAGCAGGCAATGAGAGTGGCCCACCACCCACAAGGTCAGCAGCTGTCCTCCAGCTCCCCAGCTCTCCCATAACCTCCCCCCCAATCCAGGATGGCCCCAAGGTAGATTCCCTGCCCAGGCAGCACAAGATTAAACAAATGGGGGTCCTGGAGGTCCTCAAAAGGCAAGGTGAGGGAATGAGCAGGCTCAAGGAGTAATTCTAGGCACCCATCCACCCCAAACACTAAGGCCAAACCTATAGGGTCTGAGTGGTGCTAGGTTCCTCACACTTCTAAGAAAATCCACTGTGAGGTAGCAAGAGTGTCAAGCACTATTATCCCCTTCATGGATTAGAAAACCAAGGCACAGGGAGGCCCGGTGAAAGTCACAGACCCAAGGTCACCCTCCCAGCCCCCTGCGTGTTGGAAAAACTAGAGTTTGGCTTCTCCCAACTCCCAGCACCAGGGCTGGTTCTACTATACATCCCTCAGTCCCGTAGGTCATGAAGATGGGGTCTCACAGGACCTACATTTTACACTTTGGATTTATACATTCCCCAAATCCTGCTTTCGCACCCTCAAATCAGCATGGCTTTGTGCTTAGCCATCCATTTCCCATTTTGTCCAGTGCTCAGCACAGTGCCTGGCACAGAGTAGGCACTTTTTTAATGTCCGTGAACTAGATGTCCTTGTGGTTTGTCTGTCCTGCGTAAATGTAAAATATTTGTCCTTCATACAACTAGCCTCTACATATCTGTGCATGTATACGTATGTATATATATATATATATATATATTTCTCTCTATATATACACACACACATACATGTATACACACACACACACACATATATATACACATGCACATATTAATGGATATGGGGGCAGCTAGGTGGCACAGTGGATAGAGTGCTAGAGTCAGAAAGACCTGAGTTCAAATTTAGCCTCAGATACTTACTAGCTGTGTGACCTTGGGGAAGTCACTTAACCTCTTTTTGCTTCAATTTCCTCATCTGTAAAATAGGAATGATAACAGTACCTAATTCCCAGTGTTGTTGGGAAGATCAAATGAGTCATATTTGTAAAGCTGCTCTGCAAACCTTAAAGTTACCTAAATGCTAGTTATTGGTATCATCACTTCTGACCAAGTCATTCTGAATTTACAAAGGGAAGCAGCAATCAATAGGAACCAGAATGGCTCATCAATCATGCTGTGTTTACCCAATCTCCTTTTTGCTCTGATTGCTAAATTGACAGATGAAGCATCATTGTCATAAGTAGCATTTATATAGTGCTTTAAGGTTTGCAAAGTACTTTACATATTTTATCTCATTTGATATTATCTAGTTGCCAGATGAGGAAAATAAGGGAGACAGAGGTTAAGTGACTTGCCCAGGATCACACAGCTATTAAGCATTTGAAGTAAGATTTGAACTCAGATCTTCCTGACTGCAAGGTTAGTACACTTCCCACTGCACCACTAGCTGCCTGGATTTTGGCAAAACATTTCACAAAATTTCTTACAATGTCCTTGTTGAGAAGGAGAGAGGTGAGTATGGTAGGGCAGAGCAGGAACTAGTTAGTTGAGGACCAGACTCTGAATCAATGTTAATCTAGAGGGAGGTCTCTGTGGAAATGTTCCAGTTGGCATCTGTATTTCCTTAAGAAGCAGTGTGGTGTCATGGAAGGAGAGCTGGCCACAAAGCCAGGAAGACCTGGGTTCCGATCTCACCTCTGTCACACTCTGGTTGTGCTGGAGAACTCTCTAAGACTGTAAGTTTTAGAGAAGATGTTTTGTCTGCACTGGTTAAAGGGGTTTCCTCCCCAGGGGATTTCCTATATCAATGAAATCCCAGATCCAGTCCCTGTCTTCATCAACGACTTAGACAAAGACACAGAAAGCAAGATTACCCAAATTGCAGATGTATAACTGGGAGGGATGGCCAACAAACTGCATAACAGAATGGAGAATCACAAAGATCTTGGCAAGTGAGCACAATTGGTCAATGCTAATTAGAATGAATCTAATTAGATAAATAGTTTAAAGGAAACTCATGTTAAGTCTCATACTTGGGTCCAAAAATCAGCTGTACATGCACAGGATGAAGGACATATGGCTAAGCCGCAATTCCTGTGAAAAAGATCTGCAGATTTTAGTGGACTGCAAGTTCAATGAACCAACAGTGGGACAGAGCAGCTGAAGAAAGTGCAATTTTAGGCTGCACTAATGGAAGCAATATTTAAAAAGGGAGCAGTGATAGTCCTGGTCTTTGCCGTGATCATACCACACCAAGAGCGCTCAGTTCATTTTGGGCACCATATTTGAGGAAGGGCTGGAGGAGGTCTGGAGCAGGCAAGTAGGGGTGAAAGGACTTCAAACCATACCATGAGAGAGTCCAACGGAAGGAACTGGGAATATTTACCACCTTCGTAAGGAAAGAACTGAGGGCACGTTCTGTCTTCAAACATTTGAAGAGTTCTCATGGAGCAACAAGATCACATTGGCTCTGCCTGGCCCCAGAAGGCAGAATTGGAAGTGCAGGAGAAGGGGAAGAGAAACAGATTAAGCCAAGTGACGCCAACACGTGTTTATCGAGCACCTGCTATATTCTGGCCATTTTGCTAAATGATAGGGATACAAAGAAAGACAAAAGCAGTTCTTGCCTTCAAAAAGCTCACGTTCTAATCAGGAGACGACATGCAAATCATACATACCTACATACATACATATATGTTTTACACACACGTATGTTTATATGTAGGGGGAAGAGGATATTTGGAGGCAATGTCAGAAGGAAAGCACTAGCATTAAGGGAGACTGGGACAGGCTTCTTAGAGAAGGTGGGATTTTAGTTGAGGCTTAAAGGAAGCTGGGGGGCCAGCCAGGAGG